AGAAAACCTAGAGGACAGAGACATTTTAAGGTAAATAAGAGGAGAATTAAGACATTTCATTATGCAACAAATAAATATTAAGAACCAAACAAGTGGCAGGTACTATTCCAGGTGAGAACATATTGGTGAACAAAACAGAAGGAAATCCCTGCTCTCATGGAGGTTACATGGTTTAATTCTCTTATTTTTGATAAAACAGTGAGTGCAGAGATTATGCTAGAAACTTAAGAAGCGGGCAAGCTGACTAGACTAAAATGTAATAAAAATTGACTTCAAGTCAATTTTTCTAAAATCACAAACAAATAAAATAGGATTGGCCTGGAAGTAAGGCAGGACCAGCTAACGGCTGATAAATTCTAAGGACATTTACACTTTCACATACTTCAGTTATCACATTGTTCACTTTAATCTTACAATTTTATTTGTTAATTTTACCTCAATAAAGCTGAAAAAAATAGAACTTGACTATAATGGCCTTAACTTTATAATTTTTTTGTTCCATTTTCTTATAAATGTAAACAATATGTAACATGCTCAATAAAAATAATGGACAGAAACAGAAGTATGTAAATCTAAAATGACAGCCTTCTTTATTCCTTCATGTCCGTTCACTTTATTCTTCTTTTCTTTCCCTTTCAGAAGACAATCACTACAACGTTTGTTTTTTACTTTTTTCTGGCCTTTTTCTAAACATTGGAAAATACATGTATTTATGAATAAGCATAGTCTGAAGGGCAGGAGAAAACTTTTGGGGGTAATGGAAATGTTCTATATTTTGACCGTGATGGATTCAAAGCTCATTGAATCAGACATGTAAAATTAGTGAATTTTATTGCATGTAAATCACGCCTTGATCAAGTTGATTAAAAAATAATAAAAATGCATAGTTCTCATACTTGTCTTAGAGCTAGTAGATCATTTTTCTAACAATCCTATCCATTACCGCCCTATGTTTACACTGATAGCCTTAAAGAGGTCAGTGTGGGAAAACATTGGAAAATTTTAATTTAATATGCTTAGTTTATACTGAGAAGCCCAGCTCTTAACTTTGAGAAAAGAAATGATGGCAACAAGATTGATTAAAAGTACAAGAGAGCTAAATGAGTCTACAAATTTTGGTGTGTAAAATTAGAGGAAAACGATGCCTTAAGACTCAACTCTTCATGATGTCTAATACTCTTAACTTTCCTATGGAATTCCAATTCTTGCTATTGGTATCAAGAAATGTGTCATTTACTCCATAAATTTTTATAGATTCTTATAAAACAATTTTCATTATTATGTAGCCATTAAAAATTACGTTAAAAAAATCTCAGTAACATTGGTTATGTCTTGCTATAACTGTAAATGAAAAAGCAAAATCAAAAGTTGTGTAAAAGCAGTGATGCTTAGAAGATTGGAATGCAACAAAATATTGATACATCTAGTTATCTCTGGGTAGAGAGATTATAAATTATTTAATTTCCTTATATATGCTTCCTTTATTTCTAGATTTTCTGCAATGAATACATATTAAAATTAGACATTTTTCTAAAAGCTCTGTCAATCTGTGTGAATGCCATCATTTACCAGGTAGGATTCTTCTCACCCTCAAATACTTTCTTACTACAATTTCTCTAAATTATCCTTCTGGGGGCATTTGGAGTTGTAGTGACACATGTTCTCAGTTTTTTTTCCCCAGTTAGTGACGCACCTGGTTGTAGTGACGCATGTTCTCAGTTTTATTTCCCCAGTCATAAGCTCTGAATTCATCAGATCGGTAAAGCTGAAATAAATGTTTTTTAGAAAAGTAATCTTCAGAGTTAGAATCATGAATTTTAGCAACAAATCTTGGGAAAACATTGTACACTGGGAAGAAAAAAGGCTCTGGACCACTAGAAGAATATAAATACATTTTTATCACTATGAAAAACAAAGTCAACAGAGAGAGAGAGGAATGATTCCTCTTGGTTTGAAGGAAAAGTTGATGGAAAACCAAAACTCATTAGAAGGAAGTCAAGTCTCAGATAATTCCCTTTCTGGGGAAGGCTCAGATTTCCTGATGCTTTTCCAGTTTACTTCTTGCTTTAGCTCAGGGCCTATTTAAAAAGCTCTGATTTATGACGGGGTTTATTTATGTCACCTACTTGGTCTGCACCATACCTGCCCTTTCTCTTAAAATCCAGAGAAATCAAATCATTAAGATGGTAAGATAGACAAAATGAAGCCAGTAGGTGTGCTCACTTTGTCCTTTCACATAGGTGAAAATAAGGATTGGAATAGTTTTCTATGACAAAGACACTACCTGTTTTATATGCAGTATGTTCTGTATTGACGATCCTGTGGGAGCATGTGACATATACACGTCCATTCGACTCTGAAGGAAAATAAAACACATGTTACAGCAATAATAATCTAATGAAATAAACTATGCCTTTGAGAAGCAGAGAACAGTTCTGCTAAGAGTTAGTAAACAAATACTGGGAATCATCTAGACAAATATGATTTACATCAGACACTTAAACATGAGGGAACCATGGGCTGACTAGTGGCATGGGTTGCTTGAAAGCAAACCTGCACCAGCTCTGAAACTATAGGATAATTTATTTATTTTCAAGCAGAATAAACAGTAATGGACATCATGGAGCTAAGCAAGTAGGAAAGGTATTACAATAGTGCAAGTGTGGGGGGTAGTGTGTGTATGTGCATGGACGTACATGCACATGTCAGTAAACCAAAAAACCTGGATTTCAGGATATAACTTTATTAGACTTTTTGTGACTTTGGGCAAGTTATTTAACATCTCTGAGTTTCCGCATTTTCATCTATTAAACAAACATACTATAAATCATACTACCAATTTGGTGGACTCTTGTGAGGACAAAAGTAAAATGTTATAAAAGCAAAGCTAAAAACCAATTATTTTCCTATGCACTGTACTTCAACTTCTGTAAACACTATAGAGATGAAAATTATAGAGAACGAATATAATCATAATTCTATATCTCAGAATATAATGCAACTAACAAAGAGAACTATTAAAAATCTTTACTTTTGAATAGGCAGACTTCGAACAATGATTCTTTATGGTTTTCAGTCCAACAAAACTTAGCTTCTTAAAGAATAGGAGGAGGGTGGGCTGGTGGAGAAACATTTGGGACTAGCATCACTGTCAGTCTCATTGGCTGCCATTTGGAATATGACAGCAATAACTATCCAATTGCACTCCTCCGAAAATGTCAACAGCTCCTCCCACCCTCTCCTCCTGCTCTTCTTCCTCAAATTCTCAATCACAGGAATTAGTCCATGAAACAGGACTGCTGCTTCTTCCTAGAAAAGAAAGTCCACCTCCATTCCATTTTGCCTTGTAATTTCCAAGTTAAGTGATGAGTTTTATTTGAGGCCAAGGTCACCCAAAAAGTGAAGGCACACAGGAAATAAGTTCAATGCTTGTACGTGCTTTTCTTCTTTACTAGGATTTTAGGTATTTTTTAATGCACTATATTAATTGTAAAATCAAATTCTCTGTAGTAAGTTGTCGCTGATTGCGAACGTGTGAAACTACTACCCATTGCAGAATATTCATTTTCCTAACCTTGAGCAAAGATAGAAGGATGAAGCTGCCTATTTTCTTTCCCAGTCTTCACATTCATGGTGTATTGAATACCTAATATTCTATGCATAGCAAATCTCTGCCTTTCAGGGTTTAGAATACCATATTATTTTATGCAGTGTAATAGATACATCGAAATGAATCAAAAGAAAGTTGGAAGTTCTTAAAACATTCAGTAGTCTCATAATCATTATACATACCATATTCATATTTTTCTTGTTGAATCCAGCCCATAAGGACATAATTTCACTACATAGCACCCATAATATTTTGTTGTCGCAGACTTTGACAGAAGGTGGCGTCCCTGTCTTATTTTCTAAAAAAAAACCTTTGGTACCAAAAAATTTCTGTAAAAATAAAAAATAATTATCCTTTCAAAAACCATTTCCAGACTTCTTGACATTTCCTTCATCCCAAGAATGAGGATTCCTGGAGATCTATTTGTATTATTCTGTGATATTTCAGTCAAGGAGACCAAGTCACTCAGACAAAGTAACTACTTATAATCCATCTCCATGCAGGAAAGACACCAGACATAATTTACAATAAGATTGAAGTAATGACCCTCAACCCCAAATTCGCTTCTCCACAGTGAAGCGACCCTTTATGTCCAATCTGTAATCGCCTATATTTCTTATTTCTCATTAATTGGCAAGAAAGGCAGAACACTTTCTCCTTAAGGTTAAATAGTGTCTGGAATAGGAAGGAAAAGCAGGATTTTCCCTATTACCCATGTGTAGACCGTTTTTCTCATAGTGTCCCAGATTAGCCAGTTCTTATGCTGAAAAGTGCAGAATGGTGCACCAAACAGAGGGTGATACTTGACAGAAAAAAACTGATGTCATGGGAGGCAGCATGGTAAAAACTTGTAGGGCTTGGAAAGTAAGCTTATTCGGGGAATCTCTGATGAGAGGACTGGAGCTTCTGGGGACAACAGATATGAAATGGTAGGATTTAAAGTGACAGGAACTTTGACAGTAGAGGATATAAAATGGATAAGCTGGAGACAATATTTGCCTTGGACCTAACCTATGTAGGCAAAGTAATACATATGCAAAACAGGTATATTTAGAGAAAGATGTGTTTGTCTACCTCTGAATTTAATTTAATTTATCTGCCTAACTCTGCCCAAATGTAGAAAACATCCAATACTAACTGATATCAACACACTTTGAAATACAACTATCAACCACACAAAAGAAAAGTTACATCACTTGAGTTTATAGTAAACCATAAAATCAAACTATTTTCAAACCAATCATTAGGTTCTATGGAAATTCTTTTTTGTGTTAGCTCTCAAATAATTTTTTTTCCATTTCCATCATTCCATCATTGAGTTATTCCAGGCCCTCATCTTGTATATGAATTACTGTGATACTTTAATTGGTATCTTTGACTTCATTTTGGCCAAAACTCATTTTATCCTTCATCCCAAATTTAAGGGGCAATCTTGGCAAAATACTATGTCCCTTGTGCCAATGATCTTTTTAGAAAATCAAAAAACAAACAGAAAAAAACTTTCAATGGATAAAATTCCAAATTCACAATTGGCAATCAAACTGCTTTCCAAACCCTTGGAAAATAACTTATAAATATTTAAATGAATAAGTGAGCTATAAGACATTTAGTCTTTGGAATCTTAGCTTTAATAAATTAGAACAAGCTTGTATATGGGAAGGGGCATATTATTCAGGCTTATCTAATAACAAAGTCAGAGACATCAGTGGTCATGTGAAACTTAAAAATGTCTTCCATTTGGGCATTGTTAATTCATTGACCTGCCCAGTGGAACAAGAAAACTTGTGAGTAAACTTTAAACAAACATAGTGCTCAGCTCAGCTAGAAATTCTGATGTGTACTCAGGTCTATTAATAACTGAATATAGTAAATTGTATATGATAACTGTAGATGCTGTGATACAGACATGCACACACTTGGATACACCAAAGCACATGATTGCAGTCTGTTTCCATAAATTTATTTAAATTTCCTACTTTTACTTCATAATAGATTAAAAATAATAAGGATCCATGATTCAAAATGAGACCCTCAGATATATTTTGGTGAAATGTGGAGCCTACCTTGATTGCAGAACTTGGAAGTAGAAAAAAACTGGTAAAAATGCCCGTGGGATATTTGAATGAGAGCACAGGACCCAAGGCAAAATTCATTTTGATTCTTTGTGCCACTTCAGGCATGGTAGAAAAGGCTATAAACCCTGAGAGAACAGAGATAAGACAATCTTGTAAAAATGAGAAATACTTAAGCAATGTTTCACTAACAGAAGTGGAACTCTGCTTTGTCATTTGTATCTTTCCATTGCAATGATTTGGGGGATGAATTGGGAAACTCTTCTGAGTTATTCTGCAAAGATTATCTGCCTTCAGTCCTCTCAGCTCTCAAGTCTCCATTTTTCTTTTATTCTGGACTAATTTACTTGGTTGGGGAAAGTGAGGGATAAGCTGCTGAAGCAACTACTGCTAAGTGAACTGTGGACAACCTCCCTTCTCAAGCATGGGGTAAGTGCTGGCAATGTTGTCATTTTACCCTCAAGTCTGAGAAGCCAGATTGAGTCACAGAGCTTCTAGAAGTAAATAATCAGCTCGGGGGAGGTGAGTCGATAAGTTCTTTATGCAGTATCATTGAGTTATTCCAGTTTTTCTTTCTCACAATGAAATGAGATTTCATTGTTACCAGTGCTTCACTGGATGCTTATCAATCCTCCAGAATCTTTCCTGTTTCCAAGAAGGAAGGGGATTTCTCTCAGTCCACCATGGTCCCAGGAAGGACCAGGTGTCTCCATTTGCTCTGATCTTTCAGCAATAGCATTGCACACATTTCTAGCCTTGAGGAGGCCATGTGGAGTTTCTGTGTATTTTGGTTCTCAAAGGTACCATCCTGTGCCCT